AATTCCAAAGGCCTTTGCAGCCTGCATCAATGCTCATGAGCCTCATTCTACACCCAGATTCCTTGCTCAGTGCTGGATGCCTAAAAAAAATCAAGCTACCTTCGTAGCTTGCTATTTCTACAGCATGTTTTGATGCTTAATGCATAGGTCGAAAGTTTCTTTCCTTGAGCACTGCCACAAGCTCACATCTTTCTTGGTGACCACCAGTTCAGATATTTGGACAAGTGTATTTCAAATGGAGGAAAGAAAGTGAGAAGAACCCTAACCGTAATTATAGGCAAAAGCCTAGAATTCAAGATTTTTAATCACAAGAAGCATGTTTCCACACAAAACTGGCTATCTGGATTTTGAACAAAGTTGCCTTTTTTTTTTTTTTTTTTTTTTTTTTTTTTGTTATTTTATGCAATTACTACCCTCTGTGGCACTGTAACTTTAGCAGTGAATTTTGTACATGGTCTCTTCCAGCTAGGGCTGTTGAGCATATGATGATCTTTCTTCTCTGTATAAAAACCCAGTGCAAGTAACTTAGAAAATATCTCTGAAGCTGGTTGATAAAGGTCTCATTTTTACCATACACTTTTGAACATGCTGCATTCAGTCAGCATAGATACCACTAAGTACCATTGAGAAAATGTGAAAGCAAGCTATCTAGCAAGCCTGTGCTTGGATTTCAATGTGTTGTGATGTCTGTGAAGAGAGTCACGAAAAGCACTTTGTATTTCTGAATAGAAATTTAAGCCACTTAAAAATAATAAGCAATAATAAAATGAGTATTGTTTTTGGACATGCCAACAAAAATAGAGTATTTTTTTACATGCTTAGGCTCCCTTTTAAAAATTGTGGAGATTTTTTATGACATTTTGGGACAGCTGAAAGATGATGACCATTTTAGGATTTAATTAGAAACATATTCAAGTAGTGATTTTCCACTTGACAAATGCTTTTGTATATTACCTATTAAACCAATTCTTAAACTAACTCTAAGTAGGTTTTCCTGATAGGCATATCAGTCCCTTACTAAGAAAATAAGACAATCCAAACAAAGCCCTTGCAAAACACCAGGTGTAAATATTTTCAGATGAAACACTAAGCAATAGCACTATGTCAATAGCCCTTCAGTTCCTAAAGGTTTTTTGTTTTTGTTTTTTTAATTTTATTTTATTTGTATAATCAGGAGGTAAGCTATACGAAAGAACCAGCTTACATAAAGCTGCTTGGGTGGAGCACTTCAGTAAAACCTTTGGCTCTTCAGTGGAAGGATTGTTGAACCTAATACAATTATTTGACCATAGCAATGTCAATTTCAGTCTCTGCACCCTTTGGCTAATACATGTCCCAATAATCATCTTTTCAACAGTATACTTAAGGTTCCTCTTAGGAAGGAATCCAGGCAGGCTGTTAATTTGGGTGAAACGTTAATGCTGTATTAGTGAGGACTGATACTCTAATGTATTTTTGGTAATTTTAAGTGAACTAGAAGTGTTTGCTTCTTTTTAGGAGGCTGAATCAATGTAAATTGGAGGAACAGTGACCTCATTTAGATGGATATTTATGCAGACAGCATTGTTAGTACTTCTTCTTAGGGAAACCTCATGCAAGATTTAAATAAATTTGACTACTACTTTGTAGGTTTTTCTCTGTTTCATGGGATGGGATGGGGGAGATGTACTTTTTTTCTTCCAGACCAAATTCCTCTTATTCAATATCTTGGAAGATGTTCTGATGGAAAAAAAAAATCATCCTGCAAGAGCCTTTTGGTAAAGTCAAACTAGAGTCAAATGTCTATGAAAAAGCATTCCTACTTTTCACTGGCCTCACTGGAAAATAAGACCAAAGTGGCTATAAGTTTTCCAAAAGAGATAGTCAAAACTAATAGCCAAGAGTAACTGTTGATTTATGTTTTGTATTTGTTGTCTTTGGGAGCACGAATGATCACCTTCAGAGAAAAAAAGTAATATTGCCGCTGCTCAGAATTCATTATTTTTCTCTGCAGCATAAATAGGTGCAATTTTTCTTAAATGAATTTTTAAGAACTGTTAAGCAGAATTTTAACTTTCTCCCTCAAGCTGAATGCATAAATAAGGGTTTCCTGTGAAAAGATTCCATATATGTAAACAGACAGCAACCTAATAATAAGCATATCTGTGACTTCCTAAAGTTTGAATGCATTACCAAACTTTCTCTCTTATTTTTCATTTTCTAAATATAAAGGTTTTTTATATATAAAAAAGTAAAATATTAGGTTTTATGACTGATAATAATTACCATAGAGAACAACGTTTGATACAGAAGCCTAATTTGAGAAATTTCTGATGAGGTTTAAACAGTTCTCCGTTAACAGATTATTTTGCATTCAAATACAAATATGGTGTCACTTTCAACGCCACCAGAATTGATTGAAACTCAGCAGGAAGAAACAGAAATATCACAATACCTATTGGTTTGTTCAGGGAAAAAAAATAAATACTAAGTTCAGTATATATTTATAGTTAATAAACATACAGTCTTCTAGACCAGCACCTTAACTTTCCATGATCATTTACACTTTAAGGATAAAGACCTTCCAGTCAAACAATTGTATCAAGGGTAATACAAAGAAGCTAACCCTATATGGCACTTTGTAGTATCCATTCATCTTTTGCAAAAGTATAATTTCCAGACATTAGGTATGATAAGAAGAGATGGGACAGAAATTTGCACTTTGACTCCTCAAGCTGTTCTGGTGGTTTCATTATTTTTAAAAGATTAAATATTTCAGCCTAATATCTCATTAGAATTTGTCCATAAATCAAAATACATTGTGCGCCTCTCTGAAAAATTAGAGGCTCCTTCATCAACTCCCCTTTTTGTCAATGACAAACTATTCACATAATAGCAATCAAATTCGTTCTAGAGTTGTCATCTTGATAAATTAAATAAATTGAGTTGCTTCGGTCTATCAGTATAAAGACCTTTCTCTAGCTCTGAAATTATCAATGCAGGTCTTTTTTTCTTGGATCTTTTAACTCTCCCCCCAAATGTGGCTATCAAAGCAAGAATGAGCATTTCACTATCCAGCCAGTATCAGAGTATTAATATATGCAATGATTTTAGATTTTGCTGTGCCTCTTACATAGCGGAGAGGATGAATACTGCAACAGGCCTGGAAGGAAAATTCCAGGGTTCATAAATATTAAGCAGTATTAAAGCAGTACAGGAGAGCGCACAGTATTTCAAATTTAAGCCCCACTAGAATTTGCTCCATTTTTAGTGTCTTTCCCTACCCTTTCTCACTTTCTATGTTCACCTTAGTTTGTGTATCAGGGATCTGCATTACAAAATGCTTTGTCTGGCTTGCCAGGCAACTTATGCAGACTACTTTTGAGGGGGAGGGGAAGAAAGAAAAAAAATGAGCACAGTGAAATTTAAGTTTCAAATTCTAATTCAAGTAATGCCTGCCAGCTAGTCCATTAACATTTTCAAACTTGACAAGGTACTCCTGCTTTTACAGAGCACTAGGATTGATTTAACTCCGTAGACTGGACTGGTATTCACAATTCACTCAAATTCATTCTACAGGTACAACTGGCACGCTAGATTTAGTATCTTCAGATAAAAATGGAGAGCAAACGATTTTTATTGTTGCTATAACCATTATACCACTGCCATTTTTTTTATTACAGCCCCGTCTACTTAGCTGAGGAGCAGAGTTTATTGAGAAGAATAATGGGATTCTCGCTCATGACCGAGTGGACTTGCCTTTAAAGTGTTAATACATCTGTACAAAAGTAGTGTAAAATGGAAACATCTTTCATTTTTGTGTTCAGAAGGCCTTTAGAACCAAAAGACCATGGGTATTCACAAGCTATAAATATGAAAAGGTTTTAAAAGCCTCAGAAGTACCTACAGCCAGGTGGTTAGAGTAATTTGGGTTGGGCAGTCACCACTGGAGGGTCAGCAAAGCAGCACAATGCATTCATCCCATCCCCTTCTTAAACTGTAGGGCAAGTCCTTTCTTGCTATAAATTGTCACAAGGTGTTTACCAGCCATTAACTTAAAAGTGGCTCTAATTTCTCAGTGTGTAATTAGGGATGCTGACTAAACCTGATCAGGCATCATCCTGTCAGCTGTCTCATATTAGTGATGCTAGGCACCTCTCCCTCTCTCCCAGTCATGACAATTCATTAGTTCTGCTGTTGGAGAGCAGCTGTACCATTTGAGATGTAATTTATTCAGATTCCCTCAAAATTGTTGCTGAAACGTGGGAAGATAAGTGATTTGATGAGGTTATGTATTTACTGTCAGATAACATTATGGGTTGGATGTGTGGCTAGAAATGATAGGAGATTATGTTTTGTCAGAAATATTGCCCTTTTTAAGGCAAAAGATTAAGTTAGATGAGGTAAAGGACAAAATGCTTTAACACGTCAGGCATGTCTCACACTGTTATCCATTAAACACTCCCAAAAAATATCCTGTCAGGATCATGAAAGTTCTACCTTCGTCCCGGTTTACTGACATATGTTGTAAAGCATCTGGTTTAGTAATAAACACAAGCAAAACCATATTTGTTCAAAATAAGAAAATATACAATGTTCTGCTTGATTAGCAAGTGGGGCATGTGTGTGTGTGTGTAATGTGTGAATTTCAAACTAACTTAAATGCCAAGCCAGAAATGATGAATCAATAATGTCAGTATTTAACTTGTGCTCTGAGAAATAGCATCAACTTACCTCCTCTGAGTAGACCTGAAACAACTTTAACTTGTGGGTGTTTTTTTAACCCCAGCAGCAACACTCACATGGCAAGTTAAAGCCAGCTCAGTCAGAAAATTGGTTTTCCTAACCAGCTCATTTTCATGAATATTCAGTTTCCAAATTCAAATTAAAAATGTACCCAAGTAATAGACTTTGGGGGTCAGACCCTAAAGGTCCTTTGGCTGCTATTTTGTCTTTGACAGTAGCCAAGGGAGGGTGCCAGGAAGGAGGAGCACAAGAACAGGGTAAGCATACAGTCATACCTGCCAGGAAAAATCATTCAGCTTGCATCAGTCTGCAGCTAAGGAACTCCTAGAGCTTTAGGTGGTGTTTTTGCATTTAATGGCTCTCAGTCAATTCTTCTTCTGGGAAAATGACTGTTATTCATGTAATTTGCTTCATGAAAAAAATATATTTCATTGAAAGTTGCTTCTTTGTGTTCACTTTGAACTCTGGAAATATTTACGGTGGCCAACTTTGTTCCTGTACAAAGAAACAACATGGAACATGTCACACATGACAGACATCAGTAGAAATTCAATGTCGTTTATCAATGCGCTTGAGAGATTTTCAAATATATATTTCCCATGAAAAGTCAGAAGAGGTCTACCTTCCTCAGTTGCTGTCTCAGTGACATTTTCTACCTCTAGTAAACTATACGTTTAAGTACCATTTCAGATATTTGCTCAGATCTGAAATAAGGAATTATTCCAGATTATTTCTTGCATTTCTTTCATAGTATATACATTCTGACTTGCTTCTGATGCCTGTGATTAACTAACTCCAGATACTCAGTTGCTTACAATGGCAATTTTTCATATGGATTTGACTTAGACATTTCCCCAGCTTTAGCAACCAAATATTGGATGCTATCAGTGTACACATTGAGTACAGCAATATATTTTCCCAACCACAAAATGTCATCAACACTGACAACCCCGTCATGGTCTTAAATCCAATATCCTGTGGCCTCACTGACTTCTGCATTTTAATTTGCTATCCCAGTGCACAGTAATTTCTGGTTATCTGTGTCATAGTCTTAAGCACATCTCAAGATGAAATGTTGGCAGGTTGTCATGTTTGTTAAGAACAGGTGCTCTGACTATGGCTGTTTTTTTGTTGTTGTTGTTCTTGTTGTTGGTGTTTTTTGTTTTTTTTCCCCCTTTCTCTAGCTACACTTTGAAATTGGGTACTCTGCATGTGAAAGTAACCTCTGGCCATCCGCAACGTGTAGATCCTTTTATCCTCAATTTATACATACATGCACAAACATTAATTTTAATCAGGAAAAGCTAAGACGAAATACCAGTGAAGGAAGACTTGTTAGGCATGACATTTCATTTATAGATACAGCTGAGAAGATTAACGTCTGAGCCAGCAGCCTGTCCTTTACTACCTTCAGCTACCCAGAAATGAAACGTCACAGATGACAACTCATTCCTCACTGCTCCTGAGAAATTCTCGCTGCCATTTCATTCTGTCTCCCTGGTCTATCTACCTACACAATAATATCAATTAAACAACAATTCCAGAGAGTTCTAAAGAAGAAAACGTGCACAGCTGCTTTCAGGGCATGCACATATGTGTATTTTTTTTTCTGATTGATGTTTTACATGTATTTAATATGTGACTTACATGAAATAAGGTTAGTTCCTTGAGACTCTGCTTCTGGAAAAACTTCATAACAAATGAACGTACCTATAAACAAATACACTTGGGCAGCAGGACAAGAGAAAGAGAAGAGAAGGAAAAATATAGGTGGAAGCCCAAGCAGATTTGTTTGCAGACACCAGTGCCAGAATGATTACTCTACAACTGAGTTAGGAACTAATCTGAGTCCCAGGTCCCTTTTATTCTCAAAGCTTTCTATTCACACTGTTTAACTTCTTACTATTAACATGGAGTACAAAAACAAACTTTCCAAAGGAAAAAAATGAATTATACATAACGTAGAACACATGGAAATGAAGAAAAAATCATTTTATTTTAATGTCTGTTTGAACAGGGTGATATCTTCTAATTTTTCAGGTGAATCTTTAACTGATCAAAACACATTGTGCAAATTCCCTAACACATAGCCATATCCTAACAGCTTGTATTCAAGCAACAGGTTAGAAGAAAAGCAAGCCTTAAGTAGATTTCCATGAGTCAAAATTAAAATAGACAAAGTAATGTAATAATGCACGTGACACAGAAAAGACAAAAATGTTTTCACCCATGAATGTAAATAGATGCATCACAATAGTTTTAGTACTGTATTATATTTACAATAACAACCTTTCTGTAAGTGCAGAATTCAAACAATTTTTACAAAAAAATAGTAAAAGGATATTTTGCATGTCCTAGATGATCCATGGGGATATCAGTAATTCTATACCAACACAGTGCTATCCCAGTAATCAGAGCATCTCCCTGGCTTCACAGGTGCATTGCACACACAGTAAGATTGGCAGGCAAAACAAATGTAATTACTCATATAGATGATTTGCATCACTTATGACACCTCTGAAATTCAGAGGTGCTGGTTATATTTGTTCAGGCCCTATTTGAAGGCACTGTCCAAAAGGCAGCAAGAAAATCTAGCATGTTCAAATATTACTCGTTAGCACAACACAGCAAAGAGTAAGGTGGCTACCCCTGCCTTCATCAAATGATATTTCATTTTATCTAAATATTTCACTAAACATTGTTCAGCTGCTTAGCACATGTTAGTAACATAAAACAACCTGACATCTCTTACATTTTTCATGAGGGTAGTTTCACATAACACTAGCTAGACTTAGGAAAGCATTATTATAGAAAAATCACTGGAGAATGAATTGTTTACAGCGACAATGGGTTTCTTGAGCTTTTCTGTCTGAGAAGATGCATTGGCTGTGATCACCAGGTATTTTAGCACAGAGCTTTTTCTTTCCCCACTCAAGTACATTCTTTCTGGAACTCCGAAATGTCAGGCAATTGGCAGATACACTTTACATTTGCCTCATTTCTTCCTACTGAAATTGTCTTTGCTAACAAAAGAGAAACTCAAAGCCAGTTTTTCCCACTAGGAGTATTTGTCATCTCTTCATGTTCATTGTGTTTGGAAAATTCAGGGTAAAGACTCTGACTGACACCCAGGTTGCTTTGCCATGAAAATCTCATAGCTTATTTGCGATGCCTATCATGCTGAGCAGAAAAACAGGTGCTTGTGCTGAAGTAGAGGGTGTGTGTGTACAGGAGTCAACGTCTCTCTATAGGAATTAGAGAGGAGACAAATGGTGATTCTAAGGGAGCACTACTGATGCTGGGAAACCATAAGACAACATTTTAAAGAAAATTAATTACTAATATTGTCCACTATTAAGTCTTCTACCATACTATTAACACAGCAAAAGCATGTGATGAAGTAATGCTTTTGAATATCCTATTTCTGCAGCAATTTTAGTATATAGACAACATTTAATTAATTTTCAGGGGACCTGATCTAGATGGACCAGCACATCTTCAAAAGTCAGACTAACACCAACAAGGTCTGATATTAGATAGCAGAAAGCTTTTTTTTTTTTCCCCTCCCCTCTCCTTTTGAAGAAACACCTGGAAATTAAATGCAAAAAGACAACTTTTTGGGTAGTTGTCTAAGTTGCGGGGGGATTTCCTGTCCACACATTTTTAGACATTGATAAATTTGTGGAGGGACTTATTTTCAGTTTTTAACTAAAATGAACTTCTGCTCTGCTGAAGAAAGACAAATACACACCAAATTTTATGCCTGTTAGATACTGAACTGTATTTACACACTCTAGGAAACACTTAAAATATTATTGGGAAAAAAAAATAAAGCCTTCTGCTCTGAAATTAGTGCCAGGCGATGTGCTGCTATTGCAGCTGACACCTTCCAAGCCTATCTTCATGTATTCCACTGCATAACCATGGGACCAATACCATGGTCTAAGGGTATGGGTCACAGTCACAATTCTATGCATCCAGTCTGAGTTATCACCATGCGTTAAGAAGTAGCTAAGATCATGCCTTTCTATGACATTATAACCTCAGCAACATTTGAAATTTAGAGGCTGTGAAAGTCCTGAGGAATATTTACTGTTTTGGAAGAATAAATCAAGATTACACCAATTTTCTGCACACACATACCCCACCCCTTAACAGGCCTGTAACTGCTTCCATGCACTAAAAATTAATCTCAGGGCTTCAAGAACAGTCACTATGCCAAACACATTGAAAGAAATAGAAAACTTATAGAATGGGAAATTTACTATGATTTGAAGACCTTGCATCAAGACACCCCCATCAAAAAAAGGCAAATGCAATTATTTAAAACTGACTTCCATACTCACTTCCCAGTTCCATGGGATGTCATCTTTGCAACTCTGAGATTCCATTTTTGATCACACTGCAGACCATTTCCTTCCTCTCTCTCTCTCAAGCAAGCAATTAGTCACCATTTACTTCTACTATTTACTTCTAAAAGGGGAAAAGCTCACCTTCAACTTTTAAAAGTTACCCAGTTACAAACTGGCTTATTTCCACAGCTTCTTTCATGTAAGAATTGTAAAGAACTTCAATAAACAATTCTATTTAAAATGGCTAATCAAGACATCAAGTCTTGTAAGATGCAGATGTTCTTCTCATTCCTGCTGTAGACTTGCTGAGCAACTGCGGGGAAATTATTTCAGTTCATTGTGCTTTGGTTCCCTATTCATTAAACTGATAACAATAATTCCTTTCTCTGACCTTTTGTAACACTTGCTCTGAAGCCTATTGTAAATTTTACTGTGCACATACTGTCTCTTATTATGTATAAATTTTGTATTTATTAAAATAATAAATTGATTTCAGTTGTGACCTCAAACAACCACTATAGAAGAAATAACTAGTATACCGGCATTTCAGCTGGAAAAAATGATTATGCTATTTTTTCCTCCTAAAATACAATGCTTCAGCAGTGAAGTTAAGATGAACAATAACGCACATTTTCACTCCCTACTTTGTAATGCCACATCATTGTGCAGCTATCCAATATTAAATGGGGAAATCTCTCCCTGAATACAAGATATTACTTCTAGCAACCAAAGTAATATTGATTAACTCATGCATCCTTTCTAAGCCCTTAAAATTTTATACGCTATGCAAGTTATTTTTAATACAATCCTGAATAAAGGGACTTGTGATATATGAATATCACCAAGCCTCTAAAACAAAGCCTGTAGTGAGTGAATATTAAATGTGGTCTACTATTACATCAGAATTGATATGCTTAAGAAAAATAATTAAAAAATGCCACAGGCAGAAGGACTGTCTACTTAATCCAGAGACAAAAATCAAAGGGAATATTAGAAATGAAAGTAAAGTTTCCTATCTGTGCTTAGAGATGCACAGCACAATTTCAGTGGATGACAATATTCAAGGATAGGCTGTTAGAGACAATTTTTTGATGCCTTCCCTTTCTGATTATTTGGATGCTAATGGTAAGTACTAGTGTTTTC